TCAGTCCCTGCCGAAGGGTCCGCACCTTCTGCGCTGCCAGCATCCGCAGTCTTTCGCTTTTTCTTCCGCTTCTCATCACGCTTTAACTTGCGTACGAGAGTCTCCAGCAGGGCATTGGTCTGTGCCAACTGTCCTTCTAGCACGTCCAATCGAGCCTTGGACGACCGAACCTCGCCACCGGACTCCTGTTTGGAAGTTTCCTCACTGGAGTCCTCCTCATGCAAGGATTCCTCATCCATAGCCTCTTGTTCAACCGGAGGCTCCAGCTCTGGCGGAGGTTCCATCTCCGCCTGGGTTCGCTTACGCCCTGCCCTTGCCATCTCCCAGCAATCCGCCTCTATCCTTCGCTAGAACTGAGGAAAAGGCTCCGATACCAAATTGTAAGCCACAAATTTTTCCTTTCCAATTTGCTAGCTTACCTCGTCTATCCGTCCGACACTGCCTTGGCTTTTGCTAAGTTCCCTCGCCAAGGTTCTCGCCTATGGTACTAACTCCTTACTTGGTCCTACTTGCTTTCAGCTACTCACTGCACGAGCAATGGAGCATTAGCCATCCATCCTCGGATTCCCAATTCTCTCCCAATCCCCCTCCCCGGGTTAGACTAGACTTAAGGTTCGGCTACACTCCCTGCAGGCACAAGCAGCCAAACACACCAAGCCTCCAGGTTCCTAACACCCCTTGGTACAACAAGACTTGATCATAGGACCCTCTAAATCCCAAGCCTTGGGTGCAGCACTTGCTTCGGGACGTCAGGGCGAAACACCGTGGCCTAACGGCCCGGTATGGGTACCTCTACCCCCCCACTTCCATCCTGAAGGAAGGCCCAAGCCCCTAGGAAGGGCGAGGACCAATGAGCCGCATGGTACTCAAGTGGGGCACCACTCCACATGAGCCGGGAGCACCGCAATCGGTTTCCCTTTCGGGAGTGGGAGCTGCTCTTGAGCACTTCCTTGGATGGCCCCTCCGGCACCAACCAAGTCTATACTCACTCCCACCCAAGGCCCCTTGGTCCCAGTCCCAACCTCAAGTCGGTTTGGGAGCCCCACTGGAGAGTCCCTTCTAAACTGGTTCCTGGACCTCACTATCCCTACTATACTTTTGGAACCCCCTGTAGCCCCCCCCCCCCCCTGGGAGACGCACGCTTTGGGCTTTCACCCCTTGACCCGTATTAGTATTTGGACTTAGTCTCTGGCTCGATCTCGGACCCGATTTCGGATCTGACTTCGGATTCGGTCTCGGACTCGATCTCAGACTCAATCTCGGACCCGATCTCGGACCCGACCTCGGACTCGACCTTGGACTCGGTCTCGGACCTGATTTCGGATCTCGGACTCCGTCTCGAACTCCATCTCGAACTTTGTTGTTGGCAAAACTAGCATCTGTGTAGCATGCCAATGAAGCATCACCCCTTGAATAAGCAATGCCATAGTCCATAGTGCCCTGGGGGTATTTCACAATATGCTTGGCAGCTTGCCAATGTATGGTGGTTGGTGATGTGTTGTATTGACTCAAGGCAATAGTAGCATATGTGGGGCGAGTCATCAAGGCCAAATATGTGAGGCAACCAATGAGATGCCGATAGGGATTCCCAGTGGGTAGAGGCTCACCAGACTGCTCAACTGTGAGGTCGATAGCACCAACGACCATCGGGGTCTTGACGGGGTGGCAATCACGCATACCAAACCGATCTAGCAAGACTTCGACTTTACATCGTTGGCTGCATGTAGCCACCAGACTCAACGTGTGACTTCAAAGCCAAGAAAGTAGGAGACTTGGCCAAGGTCCTTCATCTGGAATTGCTGGCTGAGAGCAGCTTTCAGAGCAGCAATGGCATCGGTGTCATCACCCATGATGAGCAAATCATCAACATAGAGGGCCACAATAAGTATGTGCTCAGCATGACCATTCACATACACATTGTGATCAGCATGACAGTGACGAAAGCCTTGAGCGCGTAGGGTGGCATCAAATTTTTTATACCAAATACAGGAGCTCTATTTTAGGCCATACAAAGCTTTCCGCAATTGCCATATAGGGCCACCAGGGGCAACATCGTCCTCAAAACCAGGAGGTATATGCATATAGATGTCCTCTTGCAAATCCCCATTCAAAAATGCAGTTTTGACGTCCATATAGTGGACTTGCCATTTGTGAGCAGCTGCAAGTGCAAAAAGAGTACGGAGGTTGGCCATTTTTACAACTGGTGAGAATGTTTCGTTGTAGTCAAGGCCATGGACTTGGCGAAAACCATGAACAACCAACCGTGCCTTATAACATACAACCTGACCATCTTTCCCATACTTTTTGGAAAAAATCCATTTTGGATCCAAAACACGTCATCCCAATGGCGTTGAATCAATTGGAACATAAGTTCCGTTAACCTGAATGGAAGAAACTTCTTCCGCAATAGCTTCCATCCAAGATGAAGCCTCAGGTCCTGAGATGGCCTCATCATAGGTCATGGAGATGCTGACGTCAACAAGGACACAAAAGTCATCAAGCTTTGCAGCATCTGCTTCAGCATTTTCCCGGACTTTCAACGAGGGCCGACGTTCCCGGGGGTGATCAAGAACTGGCATCGGATCAGGCATGCCATGACGTCAACAAGGTGGTGGAGGTGTTGGAGGCCTGTCCTCGACTGGAGGAGCATCAGCTGGTTCAAGCATGTCCAGAAGTGGAGGATTCCCTAGTGGAATCTCTGGTGGCAACTCATGAATAGGATCTTGAGGTGGAGGCAAGAGTGGACCATCTCCCATAAGTGGATCAAAGGAACAAGTCAAGTCTCAGCAATGAAAGAAGGATCTTGAGGCAGAGGCAAGAGTGGACCATTTCCCATAAGTGGATCAAAGGAACAAGTCGAGTCTCAGCAATGAAAGAAGGATCTTGAAGAGCCTTTGTACGCATGGGAAAGTCGTCTTCATTGAACATGACATCTGTGCTTACAAGAGTCTTGTGAGATGCAAGATCCCATAATTTGTAAGTTTTTCTCCCGATGGTGTCGTCCTGTGCATATCCAGATGAATTTTTTACTTTTGGGATTTAGCTTTTTCCGAAGTTGATCAGGGGTATGTGAATATGCTGCACAACTGAAGACCTGAAAGTGGGACACATTAGGAGTAGAACCTGTCCAAAATGCCTCAAGGGTTTTTCCATCCAAAGCAGCCGTGGCAAGGCAATTTTGTACATGCATTGCTGTGGCTATAGCCTCTTGCCAAAACATCTTGTCAAGATGTGCATCAGCTAACAAAGTGTGAGCAGCATTAACAAGAGTGCGATTCTTCCTTTCTACAACACCATTTTGCTGGGGGGTGTAGCGGGCTGTGGCTTGCAGTTGTATGCTTACATCATGACAGATGCCCCGAAGATCATTGTTGAGGTATTCACCACCACCATCAACTTGAAGAGATTTTATCTTTCGACCAAGGAGGTTTTCAACATAGGCCTTGTACGTTTGAAAGGCAACAACTGCATCACTTTTACGCATCAAGAAGTGGATGCATGTTCGACGGCTATAGTCATCAATAAATGTGATGAAATATCTTGCCCCATTGTGACTTGGCACGTCCATGGGGCCGCAAAGATCAGAATGGACCAAGTCCAGAAGTTAAGTGCTCGATGCTTACTCGGCGAGAAATTCTGATGGTGATGCTTGCCTAAAATGCAAGCTTCACAAAATGTAGATGGGATACGTCGGAAATCCAATCCAGTAACAATATCTTGGGATTTCATCCGTTGAAGAGATTGGTAATGAACATGACCAAGTCTTTTATGCCAAAGCTCCGCACAAGAATCTACCTCCACAGTCTGAAAGGCTTGAACCGGGTCAGCAGCAATAATCTCATACAAGTCCCCAATGCATGACCCACAAAGCAATTGTGTCCCAAGCATATAAAAGTTGCTAGAGTCAACCAAAGAGACTCCCTTTGCATCAAAGATTACCACTACATTTTGATCATATATCTTGGCGACAAACATTAAGTTTCGTCGCAAAGTGGAAACGCGCATGGCACCATCAAAGGCCATGGTCCTCCCATGATCAAGTGAGAGCCAAAATTGCCCAATGCCTTCTACGGGATAATGGTATTGTCACCTAAATGAACACCATGTTTTCCAATACTTGGCTGATAACACTCAAAAAGACTCTTCTTATTGCTCATAAGATTAATACAACCAAAGTCTAAGAGCCACCGGCTTGGTGCTGCAATTGCCTCTGCGTTGTAGAGCTCCTCAGCAGCCTCATTTGCTGTAGCAATTCCATCATGCTCGAGTAGATTGGCTTTTGCCGGCGTAGCTAGTCGCTTGACAGGCTTGGGAGCAAGGCAATCTCAAGCCCAGTGGCCCATCTCCAAGCAGCGAGCACACTGATTCTTAGCAAGTCTGGGCTTGGCACGCCTAGATGCCATGGAATTTTACCCTTTCTGGGCATTTGCAGCTGCATGCAGTTTTGCCACCTTGGCATCACCAGAAGCCTGCGAAGCATACATAACCTGCGGCATTTCAGCTCTCTTGCTTCGCATGGCCTCAATGTTGTGAAGACTCCTCATGGCATTTGCCCAAGTCATCCCTGGTTGGAGAAGCAGGCTCTCAACTGTATTCTTCCAGCTAGCTGGCAAGGACCTGTAGAGCTGCAGCCTCTACTACTCATCTGTGAGATAGTGTTTCACCCCAACAGCCACAAGTTGTGTGAAGAAGCCTTGGAGTTCGGCAGTGTGAGTCTGGATACTGCCATTTTCCTCTAGCCTCAAGGAATCCATTTGTGAATGGATGTTGAAGACATCCATTTCACTCTTGGTGCCATAGGTGTCACTCAGCCACTTCCAAAGCTCTACCGTAGTGGACTTTGGAATCGATGGGGCAGCAAAGAGAACATTCGAGGACAAGCACATCACAATACTCCCTCTAGCCTTGGAATCCCGAAGGTTCCAATCACGCACCTCGGCAGCGCTAAAGCCTAGAGCCGGTGATGACTCTGTCCCATCTACAATCCCCAACAAACCATGAAACAAGAGATAGGATTCAAGATGGATCTTGAATCCCTCAAACCCTTCTCCATCAAACTTGCGGATGGATGGCTTTCCTTCCATAGTGCTATTCCAGCTCTGATACCATGAGTAGCAGACAGAATAGGAAAACCCTAATGGACATGTGGCGAGGTGTGTCATGTAACAAGCTCCAGTGTCGCCATATCTCCTTCACACCTTCAGACACCACAGTTTTCAATCTTTGCACCTGTAGATAAAGCTCAGTAACAGAGAAAAGAAACTGGCGAAGGTCCTTACTAGTGCATCTACTGTGTAGCTGCCAAGATGCCCGCGAGCATGCTTCATCTTGCAGTATGTGCAAGCACCCAAGCAGCCAACGTTGATAGGAATGATCTCGACAAACTTGTTCTTACGAACCTGAAAACACAACAGCAAAAGAGATTATAAACTTTTGGCAAATCAAGAGACGGTAAAGCATCCCGTTGAAGCAGCCAGGCCTCGTGGCCTTTCAAAGTCTCCCCTGCTGTATTTGCTGCACTCCGATGACGCTGATGGCTTCGAGATCTTTTAAACCCTGAGGAACGCATCCAGCTATCCACCAAGGGAATAGAGGCCGCTTTGCCTTTACATATCAGTGTTTCCATTGTCGGAGCTTTCAGAGTACACCTGCGAATAAGACAGCAGCAACAAGTTGATCCAGCTTAAGATTCTTCCTTCTGATACTGAACTTACGTGTTGATCAGCCAAAGATCAGCTCTCTGAGGAGAGTCCGAGATGGCCATAAGCCTGAAGCTGTCCTGCCATATACTCACAGCCGCTCTGAATGAGTAGTCAACATTAGTTCTTTTCTACGTGAACCTACTCCAGTTTACCTGCCCGAATGCAGGTAAACTCAGTAAAGTCTACACCATTTCACAGATTCAGCTGAACATACCTCAATGCCAGTTTCAGGTGTTTTCTATCAACCTCACATCGAATGCAGTCGAAGCTCGCCTCGCACAATGTCCCATTCTACGGCTAGAACCCTAAAAAACAGAGTACCTAGGTTAGGGTTCCGCCATGGTGCGAGAGCAGTCTCATGGGAAGCCGCCAAGGGCGGATGGGGAAGAATTGGAATCAGCTATCAGGGCTGGGAAGCGGCAAAGGGCGGATGGGCCTGAGCGATCGATTCAGCAGCAGATTGAGGAAGTGGAATCGGAGATCAGGGCCGTGCAACAAGCGATTGAGCTGGTTGAGCAGAAGGTGGAGCGCGCTGACCAGAAGGTGGATTCCACGCAGGGTGAGCTTCAGAAGCACTGGATGGAGAAGGAGAAGCAGCTCCGTGATGAGAAGAAGCAGCTCCGTGATGAGGAGAAGCAGCTCCGTCAGCAGCTCATTCCCTTTAGTGGAGTTGATTGGTCAAACGCCCGTGATCGGATTGCCAAGCTGAAGGAGCTCTTTGGACCTCGTCTTAAGCATGCCCGCATGTACAGAAAATGCCTTGAAAGGGATTCATTATCTTCTTTGCCAACTGGCTTGTCTCTGAAGGACATCGGGCAGCAGTTTCCCATTGTTGGACGAGAGAAGACTGTGGATGCATTGCTCAGGGGTAACTGGCTGTTGTACAAGCAATTCATGAGCAATCAACACACAGACTGGGATGTGTTTAGGCGCCTCCACCATATAATGGGTGTGGTTGGATTCCCGGGTGCGGGAAAAACATCATTTGGCAAGGCACTCCCACAAATACTCATTGAGATGAGAAGGCAACAGAGTGATCCAGGGCTAAGGATTCAACAACTTGCCTCGCTTTTCGATACATCAATCGATGAGGTGCGACCGTGGGATGCCATGATGAGCACCGTTGAACATCTCGACGTGGTCATGTACCATGATTTTATTTCAACTTTCATTGGCGAGGCCGGGCTGGGTGATGCTCAGGTTTTGGCCCTGAGGACTTTGCATGCAGCTGTTTCTAGAGCAGATGGCCAAGATAACATCAGAAAAGATACTGGGACTTGGACGTGTTTTTTTTACCAAGAGCTTGTCGCTGTTGTTGATGCCAAAGCACCTGATTTGAAGAAGTTCCTCCTGTTTGATGACGTGATAGCTTTGTTGCGAGAAGTCTGCGAGCTCGGAGACCAAAACATTTTCCTGTCGTTCTTCTTTGATGAGATTGGGAGGAACAACGTCCTTGTTCAGAAAGTGTTTCGGGAGTTCATAGTTTGGAAGTACAGCAACGTGGGTGGCAAAACGTTTGTCACTATGCTCGGAGCGACCAACCTTTTCACAGCGGCATCTTTGAGAGAGAGCGGTGACACTGGATCATCTGAAGTGATTTATATTCCTGTCAACCCTCTCAGCAGCAGCGATCGGGAGAAGCTGGTGTTGCAAGTCTTTAACAAGGTGCTGAGGACTTCAAACCGTGAAGAACTTCACGCTTTAAATGATGGCATGCAGCTGTTGTGCAAGCTGAGCGGAGGGAATCCGAGGTTGATTACCTTCATGGTTCAGGCTTTGGCTTCAGATGACCCAGACATGGCCCTTGACATTGACAACCTTGCGCTGAGAATTCAGGAGCCCTTCCTGAGAGACAAAGTAAGGCGGATTCTGGATCGTGTGTGGAGCCTATGCAGAAGATTCGAGTATTACAATGGCTTTGCCGGGGATGAGAGATTTTCTTATTTCTTACGAGCAATTCAAGCATCGATGCTTCGTGAGCATGTCTCAAGGAATGGACCGGTTCTGCTGCAGGCCTTTCCAAGAGAGAATGTTTTGACATGGGAAGCTCTGGAGAGTTGTGGAGTAGTGGCTGTGGTTCTTGACGAAGAAAAGGCTCTGGTGGAGTTTTCACCTGTGTTACTGCATAAGCTAACACTCCAGCGGGAGGACCTTTTTGGCTCTACAACTTTTGATTTGACAACAATGTCAACGGATGATTGGAAGCAGAAGGAAGACAACGATTTGGTGTCTCTGATCTTCAGCATCTACATTCATAAGGTATGTGAATTCTACGTTCATAGTCTTTCATAGTCTCGGTTACTAACATGTTATTTGCAGTTACTATCGGGGGGTTCAGACACCTTCATGCTGGCGGACGTGTTGCCTTGCGATTGGTACATCCCTGACAATCTGAAGAACCGAAAGTTCAGGTTCCCCACTTTTCCAGTTTCAATCAAGCAACTGAGTCCAGGTATGTTCTTGTTTTTAGTTTTTTGGTTTCGGATCAAACACAGTAGTCCAGGCTCAAAGGAGGAGGTTCAAAGGTCAGGGACTTGGGCCATGTGTGGACCTCGGAACAGCGGGGCTGATACCTTCCTGATACTCGAGGAAGTAAAAGGCATTGATTTGGAGCCATTTCTTTTGTACATCCAAAGCAAGTGCTCTGGAGACCCTCTTAAGCCAGCCATTGCGGATTGGTCGGAAGTCGTTCGAAATGTTAAGAGTGACGTCCGAAGACTGATTGCTATCAAGGACAATGAGCAGCCTGGCGATGAAAGTAAGTCCATACGTTATACATTTTTTGTTTATTTTTAATTTTTGTTTTTTGTAGAGTATGCTCGAACGAACTTTGGATACGTATTTTTCTCGGACAAGGACAATTCATCAGCTCTCTCATATCAAAAGTCTAATCCGATGGATATATACGCCTCGAGTGTTATTATCGGCTCCAATTTTGGTATGATCGAGCAGATTGCAGCTGTAAGGCATACCAAAAAGTGTACGAGAGAGATGTGATCACCAGTATTTAGTGGTAAAGGAGGCTTTCCAGGTGCGATTCAGCTAGACTTTGATACCAAGAGAGTCTTACGATTCTGGTTTTCCTTTGGTAGGTGACTGGATTCTCTATTGGTGACAGTAAGGGAAACGGCATAGATAATGTGTTGACGTTGAGTGCACAACAATCCATATTTAAGTTTATTTAAGAAATTTAGTTTAAAAAGTCATAATTATTATTATTTCAGTTATTTTAAATTCATGTATAGTCATATATAGTAAATCCATATATATGTATTTAGCCTGAGCTTAGGTGTCTCTCTTAAAACATTTCCTTCTCTTCTGTTTGATTATTTACAAGCAGCCATGTAAGTACTTCATTTGATTGATATCTTTTAGATTTCTTGCTCTTATAGTTGGCATATTAAATTACATCCACGGATGTAACAAAGTTTCTCTTTTGACCGTTGAATTTTTGTCAAAAGTTCCAAAGTGGAATGGTTATATCAATAGAAGTTGAGACTACTCGAGAATAAGTAGTGGGATTGAGATAGAGGAAGAGTCTCAAACAAGTTTAGCGAGAACTAAACCAATGAAAGGGAGAGAACCACCACAGGTGGTCGATCGAGTCTTTATGTTAAAGAGACCATGCTTCTTGGAGGATGGACAACACATAATGAGCCTTCGGTGTCAAACTATTGACAAATATTGGCTAGGTGCCAAAGATGGAAAGGGTAATACATGCTAGTATTACTTTATAAAATAATTTATCGTTCAATGAAGACATCGAACTTCATCTATAGGTGGTGGAGTTGTGAGACACAAATCCCTAAGCCCCAAAGTGGAGCTAAAAGGAGTCCAGTGGTTGCGTTGTGGAGAGCCATCCCGCGAGCTGTCGGCATGTGTCACCGATGTCGAGGGAGCGGCACCATTTTAACGGAATACACGCTTTTCCAGAAGTCGTGTGTGGAGTTCAGGGTTGAAACTCACATATTCACGATCAGAAGGAAGAGCGGAATCCAACGGTATATTCCGTTTTGACTCGGTCAACAGGGATACAGTCGGAATATTGGGGAATATTCCATACTGACGGTTGACTCTGCGTTGACCGTGCGTTGACTCGAGATGGGGGTGGCCTGGAGTGACTTGGGACATACCTGAAGTCCATTGGCCAGACCCTGGGAGTCATCGGGTACGCGGAGAGGGATGCAAACATGTGCTTCTGTGTCTTGAAAAGTGCGGTACAAGACATGGCTAGGCTCGCGGAGGGAGCTTAGCCCTGACCAGGAACGAACCGAGGTTTGGGGAGCATCTCCAGCACGTAATCACTCGGGGGAGTGTGTCTGCGGGAGCTTCATCCATCACCTGTTTAAGGTTTAGGATGTCCCCCAAGCCTAGCTGCGTGTAAGGCAGCTTGAAGGCGAGGGGGGCCTTCCGAAAATACACAAGCAGCCAATAAAGGGCCGGCCCATTGCAAGCTACATTGGGACTTTGTGGGAGCCTCTCGCGTGTTAGCTTCACCGCCAGCTCTACGACATCCTGCTGAAGCAGCCAACGTTTCTTTCCGACTTGCGCATGCTGCTGCAGGACCTCCTCCACCTATAGCTCCCGTGGGACTGCTGGCTCTTCACGTTCGATGTAGAGAGCCTCTACCCAAGCATCCCCACACGAGAAGGTCTCCAACGCCTCCGCGACTTTGTGTTTGCCGAGTACGGCAACACCACAAGCTTGCGGTTCCTCATGGCTGCGGCTGCCCTCGTCCTGGAGCACAACTATGTGGAGTTCGACAGTAACATCTACCAGCAGATCTGTGGCACAGCAATGGGCTCCAACTTCGAGGTGGTCTACGCTTGCCTCTTCCTCTGCTCTCTCGAAGCCGAGTACAAGCATGCCACCAACGACTGGCCCTTCTATCTACGAAGGTACATAAATGACGGAGTGGGCATTTGGACAGGTACACGAGCAGGTCTCGAACGATGGCTCCGAGGATACAGCACGCTGTGTCCTTCGATCAAGATCACCTCGGTGATCTCGCTCGAAGAGTTGGATATCCTCGATATCCACTTCTTCAAAGGCCCTCGCTTTGAAGAGACAGGCTGCCTCGACTCGTCCACGTTCCAGAAGCCGCTCAATGCCTACCAGTACCTTCCCTGGACGTCGGTTCACCCATGGCACCAGAAAGTGGCATTCATCCGCAGCGAGCTCCACAGATACCTCCTCCGCGAGAGCACGGCCGATGGATTCCACGCCATGCGCACGCGGTTCTACCACCGCCTCCGTGCCCGGGGATACCCGATTTCCTTCCTCCATCACTGCTTCTCCGGCATCTCCTACGACCAGCGACATCAAGCTCTCCTCGCACGTTCGCGCCATTCTAGCGATGCCTGTCGACAGGCCCCCCTCGCCTTCAAGCTGCCTTACACACTCCACAGTGCGCAGCTAGGCTTGGGGGACATCCTAAACCCTAAACAGGTGATGGATGAAGCTCCCGCAGACACACTCCCCCGAGTGATTACGTGCTGGAGATGCTCCCCAAACCTCGGTTCGTTCCTGGTCAGGGCTAAGCTCCCTCCGCGAGCCTAGCCATGTCTTGTACCGCACTTTTCAAGACACAGAAGCACATGTTTGCATCCCTCTCCGCGTACCCGATGACTCCCAGGGTCTGGCCAATGGACTTCAGGTATGTCCCAAGTCACTCCAGGCCACCCCCATCTCGAGTCAACGCACGGTCAACGCGTAGTCAACGGTCAGAATGGAATATTCCCCAATATTCCGACTGTATCCCTGTTGACCGAGTCAAAACGGAATATACCGTTGGATTCCGCTCTTCCTTCTGATCGTGAATATGTGAGTTTCAACCCTGAACTCCACACACGACTCGTGGAAAAGCGTGTATTCCGTTAAAATGGTGCCGCTCCCTCGACATCGGCGACACATGCCGACAGCTCGCGGGATGGCTCTCCCCAACGCAACCACTGGACTCCGGGTATGTATGAGTGACCTCAGGCCCTCCATCTCAGACTCCATCTCAGACTTCATCTCAAGTCCATCTCATTTCGAGTCTATCTCGAACTCCTTCTCGGACACTTTCATATGTCATGTGTTGGTCCTCTTGTGTCCCTTTTCTAGAGACTCACTTATTGCTCATTTCATGCTTGTTCCTCAAGCACTTCGTTGGGAGTTCCACTCCCACTCTCAACCTTTCAAGTTGGAGCTTTTAGTTCAAACATGTTACACTTATTTGGCTCTCGCTTTAACCACTACCATATGGCACCCTTTTGGCTCCACTTTGGGGCTTAGGGATTTGTGTCTCACAACTCCACCACCTATAGATGAAGTTCGATGTCTTCATTGAACGATAAATTATTTTATAAAGTAATACTAACATGTATTACCCTTTCCATCCTTGGCACCTAGCCAATATTTGTCAATAGTTTGACACCGAAGGCTCATTATGTGTTGTCCATCCTCTAAGAAGCATGGTCTCTTTAACATAAAGACTCGATCGACCACCTGTGGTGGTTCTCTCCCTTTCATTGGTTTAGTTCTCGCTAAACTTGTTTGAGACTCTTCCTCTATCTCAATCCCACTACTTATTCTCGAGTAGTCTCAACTTCTATTGATATAACCATTCCACTTTGGAACTTTTGACAAAAATTCAACGGTCAAAAGGGAAACTTTGTTACATCCGTGGATGTAATTTAATATGCCAACTATAAGAGCAAGAAATCTAAAAGATATCAATCAAATGAAGTACTTACATGGCTGCTTGTAAATAATCAAACAGAAGAGAAGGAAATGTTTTAAGAGAGACACCTAAGCTCAGGCTAAATACATATATATGGATTTACTATATATGACTATACATGAATTTAAAATAACTGAAATAATAATAATTATGACTTTTTAAACTAAATTTCTTAAATAAACTTAAATATGGATTGTTGTGCACTCAACATCAACACATTATCTATGCCGTTTCCCTTACTGTCACCAATAGAGAATCCAGTCACCTACCAAAGGAAAACCAGAATCATAAGACTCTCTTGGTATCAAAGTCTAGCTGAATCGCACCTGGAAAGCCTCCTTTACCACTAAATACTGGTGATCACATCTCTCTCGTACACTTTTTGGTATGCCTTACAGCTGCAATCTGCTCGATCATACCAAAATTGGAGCCGATAATAACACTCGAGGCGTATATATCCATCGGATTAGACTTTTGATATGAGAGAGCTGATGAATTGTCCTTGTCCGAGAAAAATACGTATCCAAAGTTCGTTCGAGCATACTCTACAAAAAACATAAATTAAAAATAAACAAAAAATGTATAACGTATGGACTTACTTTCATCGCCAGGCTGCTCATTGTCCTTGATAGCAATCAGTCTTCGGACGTCACTCTTAACATTTCGAACGACTTCCGACCAATCCGCAATGGCTGGCTTAAGGGGGTCTCCAGAGCACTTGCTTTGGATGTACAAAAGAAATGGCTCCAAATCAATGCCTTTTACTTCCTCGAGTATCAGGAAGGTATCAGCCCCGCTGTTCCGAGGTCCACACATGGCCCAAGTCCCTGACCTTTGAACCTCCTCCTTTGAGCCTGGACTACTGTGTTTGATCCGAAACCAAAAAACTAAAAACAAGAACATACCTGGACTCAGTTGCTTGATTGAAACTGGAAAAGTGGGGAACCTGAACTTTCGGTTCTTCAGATTGTCAGGGATGTACCAATCGCAAGGCAACACGTCCGCCAGCATGAAGGTGTCTGAACCCCCCGATAGTAACTGCAAATAACATGTTAGTAACCGAGACTATGAAAGACTATGAACGTAGAATTCACATACCTTATGAATGTAGATGCTGAAGATCAGAGACACCAAATCGTTGTCTTCCTTCTGCTTCCAATCATCCGTTGACATTGTTGTCAAATCAAAAGTTGTAGAGCCAAAAAGGTCCTCCCGCTGGAGTGTTAGCTTATGCAGTAACACAGGTGAAAACTCCACCAGAGCCTTTTCTTCGTCAAGAACCACAGCCACTACTCCACAACTCTCCAGAGCTTCCCATGTCAAAACATTCTCTCTTGGAAAGGCCTGCAGCAGAACCGGTCCATTCCTTGAGACATGCTCACGAAGCATCGATGCTTGAATTGCTCGTAAGAAATAAGAAAATCTCTCATCCCCGGCAAAGCCATTGTAATACTCGAATCTTCTGCATAGGCTCCACACACGATCCAGAATCCGCCTTACTTTGTCTCTCAGGAAGGGCTCCTGAATTCTCAGCGCAAGGTTGTCAATGTCAAGGGCCATGTCTGGGTCATCTGAAGCCAAAGCCTGAACCATGAAGGTAATCAACCTCGGATTCCCTCCGCTCAGCTTGCACAACAGCTGCATGCCATCATTTAAAGCGTGAAGTTCTTCACGGTTTGAAGTCCTCAGCACCTTGTTAAAGACTTGCAACACCAGCTTCTCCCGATCGCTGCTGCTGAGAGGGTTGACAGGAATATAAATCACTTCAGATGATCCAGTGTCACCGCTCTCTCTCAAAGATGCCGCTGTGAAAAGGTTGGTCGCTCCGAGCATAGTGACAAACGTTTTGCCACCCACGTTGCTGTACTTCCAAACTATGAACTCCCGAAACACTTTCTGAACAAGGACGTTGTTCCTCCCAATCTCATCAAAGAAGAACGACAGGAAAATGTTTTGGTCTCCGAGCTCGCAGACTTCTCGCAACAAAGCTATCACGTCATCAAACAGGAGGAACTTCTTCAAATCAGGTGCTTTGGCATCAACAACAGCGACAAGCTCTTGGTAAAAAAAACACGTCCAAGTCCCAGTATCTTTTCTGATGTTATCTTGGCCATCTGCTCTAGAAACAGCTGCATGCAAAGTCCTCAGGGCCAAAACCTGAGCATCACCCAGCCCGGCCTCGCCAATGAAAGTTGAAATAAAATCATGGTACATGACCACGTCGAGATGTTCAACGGTGCTCATCATGGCATCCCACGGTCGCACCTCATCGATTGATGTATCGAAAAGCGAGGCAAGTTGTTGAATCCTTAGCCCTGGATCACTCTGTTGCCTTCTCATCTCAATGAGTATTTGTGGGAGTGCCTTGCCAAATGATGTTTTTCCCGCACCCGGGAATCCAACCACACCCATTATATGGTGGAGGCGCCTAAACACATCCCAGTCTGTGTGTTGATTGCTCATGAATTGCTTGTACAACAGCCAGTTACCCCTGAGCAATGCATCCACAGTCTTCTCTCGTCCAACAATGGGAAACTGCTGCCCGATGTCCTTCAGAGACAAGCCAGTTGGCAAAGAAGATAATGAATCCCTTTCAAGGCATTTTCTGTACATGCGGGCATGCTTAAGACGAGGTCCAAAGAGCTCCTTCAGCTTGGCAATCCGATCACGGGCGTTTGACCAATCAACTCCACTAAAGGGAATGAGCTGCTGACGGAGCTGCTTCTCCTCATCACGGAGCTGCTTCTTCTCATCACGGAGCTGCTTCTCCTTCTCCATCCAGTGCTTCTGAAGCTCACCCTGCGTGGAATCCACCTTCTGGTCAGCGCGCTCCACCTTCTGCTCAACCAGCTCAATCGCTTGTTGCACGGCCCTGATCTCCGATTCCACTTCCTCAATCTGCTGCTGAATCGATCGCTCAGGCCCATCCGCCCTTTGCCGCTTCCCAGCCCTGATAGCTGATTCCAATTCTTCCCCATCCGCCCTTGGCGGCTTCCCATGAGACTGCTCTCGCACCATGGCGGAACCCTAACCTAGGTACTCTGTTTTTTAGGGTTCTAGCCGTAGAATGGGACATTGTGCGAGGCGAGCTTCGACTGCATTCGATGTGAGGTTGATAGAAAACACCTGAAACTGGCATTGAGGTATGTTCAGCTGAATCTGTGAAATGGTGTAGACTTTACTGAGTTTACCTGCATTCGGGCAGGTAAACTGGAGTAGGTTCACGTAGAAAAGAACTAATGTTGACTACTCATTCAGAGCGGCTGTGAGTATATGGCAGGACAGCTTCAGGCTTATGGCCATCTCGGACTCTCCTCAGAGAGCTGATCTTTGGCTGATCAACACGTAAGTTCAGTATCAGAAGGAAGAATCTTAAGCTGGATCAACTTGTTGCTGCTGTCTTATTCGCAGGTGTACTCTGAAAGCTCCGACAATGGAAACACTGATATGTAAAGGCAAAGCGGCCTCTATTCCCTTGGTGGATAGCTGGATGCGTTCCTCAGGGTTTAAAAGATCTCGAAGCCATCAGCGTCATCGGAGTGCAGCAAATACAGCAGGGGAGACTTTGAAAGGCCACGAGGCCTGGCTGCTTCAACGGGATGCTTTACCGTCTCTTGATTTGCCAAAAGTTTATAATCTCTTTTGCTGTTGTGTTTTCAGGTTCGTAAGAACAAGTTTGTCGAGATCATTCCTATCAACGTTGGCTGCTTGGGTGCTTGCACATACTGCAAGATGAAGCATGCTCGCGGGCATCTTGGCAGCTACACAGTAGATGCACTAGTAAGGACCTTCGCCAGTTTCTTTTCTCTGTTACTGAGCTTTATCTACAGGTGCAAAGATTGAAAACTGTGGTGTCTGAAGGTGTGAAGGAGATATGGCGACACTGGAGCTTGTTACATGACACACCTCGCCACATGTCCATTAGGGTTTTCCTGTTCTGTCTGCTACTCATGGTATCAGAGCTGGAATAGCACTATGGAAGGAAAGCCATTCATCCGCAAGTTTGATGGAGAAGGGTTTGAGGGATTCAAGATCCATCTTGAATCCTATCTCTTGTTTCATGGTTTGTTGGGGATTGTAGATGGGACAGAGTCATCACCGGCTCTAGGCTTTAGCGCTGCCGAGGTGCGTGATTGGAACCTTCGGGATTCCAAGGCTAGAGGGAGTATTGTGATGTGCTTGTCCTCGAATGTTCTCTTTGCTGCCCCATCGATTCCAAAGTCCACTACGGTAGAGCTTTGGAAGTGGCTGAGTGACACCTATGGCACCAAGAGTGAAATGGATGTCTTCAACATCCATTCACAAATGGATTCCTTGAGGCTAGAGGAAAATGGCAGTATCCAGACTCACACTGCCGAACTCCAAGGCTTCTTCACACAACTTGTGGCTGCTGGGGTGAAACACTATCTCACAGATGAGTAGTAGAGGCTGCAGCTCTACAGGTCCTTGCCAGCTAGCTGGAAGAATACAGTTGAGAGCCTGCTTCTCCAACCAGGGATGACTTGGGCAAATGCCATGAGGAGTCTTCACAACATTGAGGCCATGCGAAGCAAGAGAGCTGAAATGCCGCAGGTTATGTATGCTTCGCAGGCTTCTGGTGATGCCAAGGTGGCAAAACTGCATGCAGCTGCAAATGCCCAGAAAGGGTAAAATTCCATGGCATCTAGGCGTGCCAAGCCCAGACTTGCTAAGAATCAGTGTGCTCGCTGCTTGGAGATGGGCCACTGGGCTTGAGATTGCCTTGCTCCCAAGCCTGTCAAGCGACTAGCTACGCCGGCAAAAGCCAATCTACTCGAGCATGATGGAATTGCTACAGCAAATGAGGCTGCTGAGGAGCTCTACAACGCAGAGGCAATTGCAGCACCAAGCCGGTGGCTCTTAGACTTTGGTTGTATTAATCTTATGAGCAATAAGAAGAGTCTTTTTGAGTGTTATCAGCCAAGTATTGGAAAACATGGTGTTCATTTAGGTGACAATACCATTATCCCGTAGAAGGCATTGGGCAATTTTGGCTCTCACTTGATCATGGGAGGACCATGGCCTTTGATGGTGCCATGCGCGTTTCCACTTTGCGACGAAACTTAATGTCTGTCGCCAAGATATATGATCAAAATGTAGTGGTAATCTTTGATGCAAAGGGAGTCTCTTTGGTTGACTCTAGCAACTTTTATATGCTTGGGACACAATTGCTTTGTGGGTCATGCATTGGGGACTTGTATGAGATTATTGCTGCTGACCCGGTTCAAGCCTTTCAGACTGTGGAGGTAGATTCTTGTGCGGAGCTTTGGCATAAAAGACTTGGTCATGTTCATTACCAATCTCTTCAACGGATGAAATCCCAAGATATTGTTACTGGATTGGATTTCCGACGTATCCCATCTACATTTTGTGAAGCTTGCATTTTAGGCAAGCATCACCATCAGAATTTCTCGCCGAGTAAGCATCGAGCACTTAACTTCTGGACTTGGTCCATTCTGATCTTTGCGGCCCCATGGACGTGCCAAGTCACAATGGGGCAAGATATTTCATCACATTTATTGATGACTATAGCCGTCGAACATGCATCCACTTCTTGATGCGTAAAAGTGATGCAGTTGTTGCCTTTCAAACGTACAAGGCCTATGTTGAAAACCTCCTTGGTCGAAAGATAAAATCTCTTCAAGTTGATGGTGGTGGTGAATACCTCAACAATGATCTTCGGGGCATCTGTCATGATGTAAGCATACAACTGCAAGCCACAGCCCGCTACACCCCCCAGCAAAATGGTGTTGTAGAAAGGAAGAATCGCACTCTTGTTAATGCTGCTCACACTTTGTTAGCTGATGCACATCTTGACAAGATGTTTTGGCAAGAGGCTATAGCCACAGCAATGCATGTACAAAATTGCCTTGCCACGGCTGCTTTGGATGGAAAAACCCTTGAGGCATTTTGGACAGGTTCTACTCCTAATGTGTCCCACTTTCAAGTCTTCAGTTGTGCAGCATATTCACATACCCCTGATCAACTCCGGAAAAAGCTAAATCCCAAAAGTAAAAAATTCATCTGGATATGCACAGGACGACACCATCGGGAGAAAAACTTACAAATTATGGGATCTTGCATCTCACAAGGCTCTTGTAAGCACAGATGTCATGTTCAATGAAGACGACTTTCCCATGCGTACAAAGGCTCTTCAAGATCCTTCTTTCATTGCTGAGACTCGACTTGTTCCTTTGATCCACTTATGGGAAATGGTCCACTCTTGCCTCTGCCTCAAGATCCTTCTTTCATTGCTGAGACTTGACTTGTTCCTTTGATCCACTTATGGGAGATGGTCCACTCTTGCCTCCACCTCAAGATCCTATTCATGAGTTGCCACCAGAGATTCCACTAGGGAATCCTCCACTTCTAGACATGCTTGAACTAGCTGATGCTCCTCCAGTCGAGGACAGGCCTCCAACACCTCCACCACCTTGTTGACGTCATGGCATGCCTGAT